AGTAAAACACACCAGATAAAACCAATAAACATATTCTGTTTAATTTTTAAATGAAACTTCTGAGAAGAAGCTAAAATCAAGCCATGTCAAGTTTAAACCACTTTTTCAAAAATACAGAAATTCCCCAAATCTCTTTTTTACTGACTTTCCTATCTAATAAGGAGCTGGCCCCTTGAGATATGGAGAATGTCTGTAGAAAGATTCCATAAAAATTCAGTTAGCCAACTCAGCACTGTGTATTTCTGAGGGACATGACATAATAATTTTTTAGCCCATTTATTAATGTCAGTAAGATCAAACACACATTTTCCATGTGCTGCATAAATTTTATGATGTCTTCAGCATCCGTTTCCTGTACTGTAGAGTAAGTTTCTAGTACATGCTGCAGCTTCTTGCTGATTATTTTTCATCCTTTGGTATCTGCCATTTCTTCGTTTACTACCAAAACCTCAAAAATGCACATTCTTAATTTGCCTTTCTAAGTTATAATTAAATATTAATAAAGTTTCATTATTTTATAAAGTCATATGTAAAGAGAGGTGGCCTGCCCAAAGTACACAAAATTTAACTTCCCTATCCCTATATGACATGTGCACAGATAGAATTGTAGTTTTTGTTTTACCCCATATGTCCACCCGAGAAATGAAAGAATATAAAATTAGTAAATTTACTAAATCTAGTAAAAAAAAAATTAATTCAAGCTATGTCATTTTTCTGCCCAGACCCCTAATTGTTTTACCTGAAATCAGGGTTTCATATGAATCAACATATCATATTAGAGATCATAGTATCATAGAATGTATTGGGTTGGAAGGGACCTTTAAAGGTCATTTAGTTCTACTCCGTTGCAGTCATCTTCCATATCAGCTTGCTCAGAGCCATATCCAACCTGACCTTCAGTGTTACCAGGGATGGGGAATCTACCACCTCTCTGGGTAACTTATCCCAGTGTTTCACCATTCTCATTGTGAAAAATTTATTCCTTCTATCTAATCTGAATCTACCCTCTTTTAGTTCAAAAACATTATCCCTTCTCCTATTGCTAGAGACCCTGCTAAATGGTTTGTCCCCATCCTTCTTATAAGTCCCCTTTAAGTAATGAAAGGCCACAGGAAGATCTCCCCAGAATCTTTTCCTCTCCAGGCCAAACAATGCCAACTCTCTCAGTCTGTCTTTATAGGAAAGCTGCTCCATCCTTCTGTGGCCCTCCTCTGGATCCACTCCAATAGGTCCATGTATTTCTTGTAATGAGGACCCCAGAGCTGGATGTAATACTCCAGGTGGGGTCTCACCAGAGTGGAGTAGAGAGGCAGAATCCTCCCCTTGGCCTGCTGGCCACATTGCTTTTCATGCAGCCCAGGATATAGTTAACCTTCTGGGCTGCAGGTGCACATTGCTGGCTCATGTCCAGCTTTTCATCCACCACTACCTCCAACTCTGTCTAGAAGGCTGGTCTTAATTTCTTTACCCCCAGCCCATGTTAATACCAGGGGTTCACCCAACCAGGGTGCAGGACCTTGCATTTGGCCTTGTTGAACCTTACTCTGGGTTCCCATGGGCTCACTTCTTGAGCTTGTTCAGGTACCTCATGATGCCATCCCATCCTTCAGGTGTGTCAGCTGCACTACTTAGCTTCATGTCATCTGCAAATTTGACAGATACAGTAAGTTAGGACCAAGTAATTTTCCCTTTTTAGTTAAAAGTCACTCATGTACCCTAGTGTATTGTAGGCTAATGATTTAATATTATAAATTTTTAAGACTTTAGCGATTACAGGCATAGCATAATTTATTGACAGCTATAGAATTTCCTAATTTTCATTTTTTACACAGTTTGAAGAAAAAATATCATAACTTTCCCTTTCAGAGAAAGACATATATTTCAATTGGAAGAAGGAAGTGATTAAAAAGTTCTCCCCAAATGAGTCCTTTACTCCAGTTCACTAAGAAGGAACAGGTTTGCTAGCTATGAACTAAACTTCCATATGTTTCTTGCAGTTATTATCTTCCCAGTGTGAGTGACTTCCAGAACTTTACTTAGGAATGTACTTTACATACAAAAAAAATATAAGCATAATTTTTTTCTGGTATTAAGATAAGGATTTTATTTTCTTTATTTTAACAATTCGCATAGCTCCCTCCATCAATGCAGAAAAATTAAAATACTATTTTTTTTTGTCACTTTGCCAAACAGCATGTTCTGGGTTCTTTAAACTCTTTGTCATAAACCAGTCACTCCAGTTCATAATTTTGAAAATACCTACAGGAAAAATTGAAAAAATAAACAGCTACAAGGATATGCACAACAGTCAGACTGTATTTAGGGAATGGGGTGGCAGGGGGAAGGGAGTGGGAAAAGAAGAAAATCTGAGCAAAGAAATAAACGATATAAGAGAATATGGAAGGCAAAACAAAAATTGAAAACATTCATACCCAGTTTGATGCTTAAATTTTGGGTTGAATTGGGATTTTCTCCATGTACTTTAAAAGTGACCGAGTAGCCTAAACACATGTATGTCTTAATTTTGAAAGTCATCTTACCAGGCAATTGAAAACTGAGAAGGAAAAAAATCCAGGTTATTGTACCAGTATGCGGTTGAGATGATTACAATTAATCTTTAAAAAGTTGCTTAGCGTTTGTGGAAAGTGCTGGCTTAAGCATCCCTAAGACTTGTCCTTCAACTATCCTCAAAACAATTCTGGTATAGTCTGGAAATAGTGATTCAATTCCTGAATGCTGTCTTGCCAGCAGTATGTTTCACCCCAGGTGCAAAAAAATCACTTTGCTAGATGAAAAGTAAATGTAGTTTTAACACCAATTCCATCTCTGAGAACATAATTTTTTAAGTTAATATGTATTCACTAGGAATAGGGTTAAACTTCAGTGAACTTATTTGAAGAAGTTGTTTCTTGCAGAATGGATTTAAAATATGTAAAGAAAGAAAATACCAGTTAAACAGTTTTAACCAACAAATAGTAATGCTTAGTGACTAGGTAGATAAAAGTTTGAGTCTAGTCAATGAGAATTTTACAAATGTGTCCTCATGAACAGCAATCATAAAGGAGAAACTATCCTATAAATCCTATTTTTGTAGGTACAGCAGCAGAAAAATATGAGACCAAGGGTAATGTAAGCCCACTACTGAATGAAGTGGCTGATATTCAGTGTCTTTGCTCTGGTTTTTACTTGCAATATCTGTTTTCAAGTTTCCCAGGTCCCTATACCCTAGTGGTAAAATTTGGAGGAAAGAAATATTGTCAATGATAGAGGAATGCCAAACTAGGAACTACTTAGGCAAAAAAAAACCAGTACTTATATATATCCAAAGGGCTTGACAGGATGCATCTAGGGAAAATGAGGGAGTGGATTAATGTAACCAGAACATGATAAAGAGTAGAGTAGCTTCTAATAAAATAATGGATGTTGTCACAACAGACCAACGCATGGATAGGAATTTGGAAAATAAGTACTAAAGAATATGCAACTGCTGGAGAACATAGTGTTCTTCCAGGTCCTGGGAAGGTAAATTCACTAATTCTGTTGGCTATTGTGCTCCTCTTATACCTCGGTCACTTTGGAGATGACAGTCCACTTTAGTTATCTGTCGTTTCAACAGCTGAACATGGAGATTCGCAGTATGGAATTCCCATCACTGCAGTTCTCTTAAAGCCTTCACTAAAGGACACCTAAATACTATTTGTTTTGATAAAACATATATATCAGATAGGGAAGAGATCACTGTAATGCAAATGTTGAGAAGAGTGATAGGTTAGGTGAATTTTAAACTTTAAAACAAACTTCAATGAGTTAATTGATAAACAGCATACTTAATGTTAATAGTTTTTATAGATTATTAGACATTCTCAGTACACCTACATACTACTATTCTGTAACATATTTTAAATTATATGTGATCACACAATACCATGGAGATGATGCCTTCTAGTTAATGCTGACAGCTGTGGTCCCTAGTCGTTCTTAGCTCCCAAAGTCAAGGTAATCTGTCTCATGAGCTCTTTGATGCGAGAAGTCATTACTGACATGAGCTTAACTTCCTTTGTCTCCATTCTATCACTTTGTACGTGATGCTTTATGCTATTTTACCTCCCACCGCCCTACCCTGCCCTTAAAAAAAAAGGATGGTCTCCTGGTATTACTTGCCTTGGGGCATTTTGTATCCTGGCAGTAATTCTTCTTCTGTAGTCAGCAATATGTTCTGCTGATTTTCTATGCCTTATGGTAATCTTGTTCTTTCGCAACTTTTTTGTTATTTGTATGAGTCACTACAATGCATCTCTCTCCCCTTGATGGTCACATTGTACACATACTCATCTAAAATGCATATTCATTGTGACTGGCTGCACTACCATGGTGTTCTAAAATACTTTTATGCTACTGTTGGCTATACTGCCCTTGTAATTGGATTCAGGACAAACTATTAGTTATATTTGATCAGGGCACTTCTAATGTATAGGTATCACAGGACTCTTTTGAGAAGCTAATATAAGCTTCAATTCTTTCCCTTTCTTCTGTAGAAATTATTTTTATTTATTTTAGTTAATAGATAGGGTCAGAATGTCCAACAGAAACCTTGTACTACATTTTCTGATAATTAGTTGGCCACTATGTTTGTCTTGCAGGCTTTGTCAGCACCACTGACTGATTTCTCCCTCATCTCTGGGCCTTTAAAATCCTTTTTGCACATTCAGTTCTTCTATTCTTGCAGGCAGCTCTATCCATTACAGCGAGTAATTATCTTGCCATTTCCTCCAACTCACATGTCCTCTCTTCCCACACTTTTTCAACAGACATGGTAGATGAGTTTTGCCTTTGTTAACTGTTTTATCATTTGCAAATACAGATATAAAGAATAACTCTGCATTGTTTTACTACCACACCTTTATGTGGTAGTAAAATACAAGACACAAAGAAAATTCAACCATCTTTCACATTGCATTTTCATTTTGTGTTTTCTCTGTTTGTGTGTTTGTTATATCTAGTGCCTCTGTGCACCTGGATGGACAGGAGAATTTTGCCAATTTGCTGAAAATGCATGTTTAGTTTACCCAAATAGTTGTTCTGATGGAGCAACTTGCATGGATATGAGCCAACGGAGAGAACAACCTTTGTTTCAGTGTTTGTGTCCTCGTGATTTCACAGGTAAGGTATATACAAATCATGTAGAAGTTTGTAGTTTCATTTCCTTTTAAATGAAAGTATAAGAATGATGGATTTTAAAAAGTAAGGGATATAGAAGTGTTTGCATTTTCTGCCTTCTGCTGTGATGCCTACAAAATCTAAACAGAATTTGCAAATTAGTTTTGAATGTTTAAATTAAAGTTACAGAAAGAATAGAATAGAATAAACTTCAGCTTCAATTTAAGAGACTAAGTGTATGTCTACACGTAAAAGTTCTGCATGTGAGCTAGATATCTGCTTTGTCATTGTAGTTCCTGGAGATCTAGTTAAGTCCAGGAAGTTCGTTAGTTCGTGTCAGCCCATATTTGCTCGGATAACTTTATTTATTTTCTGGGAGATGAACTCCACTTCCTATTTTAATTCCTTAATGGACCACCAATGATTTACACAATTTCATTTGGTGTAGAATTAGCTGATTCACTTTACTTGACTAAAAGAATGTGAGACCGGTAAACAAGTCTTCAAGGCTCTATGAATTATCAGTAAGTTTTTCAGGGGGGGACTAAGACCACTTCTATCAGATACTTGTTAGTCATTGACACAAGTTCTTCAGGAATGTTTCTCTTTTACTTAGACAGAAGAGAAGACTAAAAAAAATAGCTTATATTAACCACATTGTTTTTTTGCTGGCAAAGAAAACAATTTCTGAGTTTTCCTCCATCCTTACTCTTTAAATAGAAGCTCATTTGAGTTGGATTCTAAAATCCTTCACCAATCTTTGGTTAGAGAGGGAACTGAAAGAGAAGCATTGAATGTGATTCTCTGCAGTTTTAGGTAACATTAAGGAAACAGAAATTAGTCATATGTACATCAATTTAAAGATAAGTACCAAAAATATGAAGAGAATTTAAAAAAAACCACCTGAAATATAGATACTTAATATTTATTACTCAAAGATCGAAAATTAATTTAATCTAAAGAAATTACAGTAATACACAGAGAAAACAGACTTTTAAAAGAAAAAGAAAAAGAAATAGAATAGTACCCCAGAGTTGTAACTATCAACCTTTCTTTTCACTTCTGCCTTATCATCTTTAGGATTTTATTGTTTCAATCTAAACTTGAGAGGTTTTTTGCCACGACCTGCGGGGATGAAAGGAATGGGATCGGGCATTACAATAAGGGGTCCAAACACAGTTGAGGTCTGGTGAGGTAATGCCAACTTCATTAAGCCAACAGGGCTTTAAATAGTGTAGGTTTAGGGGTTGGGCTCAGGCTTAGGGAGGAGCAAGGGATTGACAACTGAAGGATCCCAGGGATAGGATAACAGGGTAAAGGTAGGTGGAGTTTGGGAGTTACTGGGGGAATGGGCCAATGACAGCTACCTCTGCACTGCACCAAACCTCAACCAATGGCAGGCAGAGGAGCGGGAAAACAGGAGAGGACAACAAGTTTAGGCGGGAAAACTGTGAGGGGAGGAAGAAGACAATATGGTGGACATGATTTTTAAACAATAAAATGGGGTATAAAGAACAGTACAACCATATAGCACAGAACTGGGGTATAACCGGGGTAAAACAGGGGAGAACAGTCAGTCAGGTGGTTTGTCAAATCCAGTGAATAAAGGTCCATAACAGTATATAAATGTCTATTCCAGAATGTGAGTGTCTTTTCAGGGGTCATAGATTTTTCTCCAGGCTTGATATTTCTGCCACTCGCTCTCGCCTCCGCCAACAGTTTTTTATTGATGTAACACCTAAAATTATGGATTTGTTAATAAAAGTAATGTTTCACTACAATAACTCAAGGCTTTCAAGGTAATTTAAGGTCTCTAGTGTACAATATGGTCATAAAACAAAAGTTTAACAGGCTACAATATATGGCAATAAATGTATGCAATTAATACAATTAAACCTTATTAACACTGAGTTATGACTGAATTCAAGATTCTTTCTTTTGTGGCATCTCATTGTAAGAGGTTCTTTATATAGTAATTAATTTTTTTTTTACTTTTTCTATTTTTAAATAATCAGTTCTTCAGTCTTGATCCAAAAAATTTCCATTTATACTTGTTTATTGTTTCATTTATGTGTTTCAGAAGGGAAGGACAATGCAGTAGCAATTTTGGCATGTTTACTTGACTCTGAATGAAATAGCATCTGCAACCAGAAAAACTATTGTAGTTTCACATCTAATTGTTCTAAATTGTGTTTATAAATTATAAACACTGCATCTGTAGCTTTTGCATTAACATTTAAATCATGTTTGGAATAGACATCTTAGGGAACACAAAATATGGCATGATGTAGTGTTCTCAGCTGTGAAAAAGAACTTTGATTAAGAAAGTTATATAACCATTTCATTTTGATTCCATACTCTTTAAAAAAAACTTGTAGAAACTTACCATAAACTCACAAATGCAATTTTAAACTACATTTTTTGTTTCTGTTTATATGTAAAATACATTTTGGGTAACTTACTCATAAAAATAATAAATATAATAAATATGAATAAATATAATTATTTTTGTTGAATAGATGTCATTATTTTTGTGCTTTCAATTTCCTTCTATGGTTAGCTCCTTATTTTCATTTTTCCCTTCTCTGACAGTAGATAAGAACCTTTGTATCTACAACAGTGCAAGTAAGTAACATGGCTTATGACACTGAAACAATCCATATCAGCAATTTCTCAAGTTTTGCACAGTAGGCCAATTGTTCTTGAATAAGCTTCCTCTAATTTATTACTATCTTTCCTTGTGTGTAGAGCAATCATACTAGCAGGGATTGATTGTTCATGTTAGACACTTCATTTAGTTGGTAGAAAAGTCCTTTAATTAAAATAATCTTACTGCTGCTAAAATGAACTGAATCCCAAGAAAACTCACCAGCTAGAATTTTAAGTACTACTTAATTACATACATTTTCCTCATCTTCAAACTTTCCTTTTATAAGACTCATTAGGATTATTCCCAATTTATCCACAGTTTATTTTTTCTCTTTCATTGTTTTATTGAGTTGAGACAGATCAGCTAGCATCTACAGGTATATGGGAAATGAATATAAAAATACTTCATTGAACTGCATAGGTTATTTGTATCAGTATTCTGTAGAAAGAATCTCTGATACCACAATAGCAAATGTTCCGGAGAAGAAGATAGAGGATATAAAAGTTCCAATATCTTTCACAACCTAGTAAAGACAATGTTTATACTAGCGAACAAAACAATTAATACGGCCTAATTTAAATCCTTCTATCTGGTCAAATCCACATTTTTAAATTCTTTTGTTCTCTAGAATACAGTGTTGACGTGTTTTAACCCTGGTGGGCAGCTAAATACCACATACCTTTTTGTTCACTCTTCCCCAGTGGGACGGTGAAAAGAATCAGAAGGGCAAAAGTAAGAAAACTTGAGATAAAGACAAATCATTAGGTCAAGCAAAAGCTGTGCACACAAGTGGAGTAAAATAAGGAATTCATTCAGTACTTCCTGTTGGCATTTCATGTTGAAGTACAGTGATAATATCATAAGTCTCAAAACTCAAATAGATAAAAACAATTATTTTTTTTCACAGCTCTAATCCTTGTACTAGAGGTGAGCAGATAAAGCAATTTTTGTATCATCATGGGAGGTTCCTATGTCACAGGAGTGTCATTGGAATTACACAGCAGTCTATTTCTCAGCAACAGATGCTGCCATTTTAAGCTTTATTCATTGCACTTTATGTGTTATTACAGTTGTCACCTCTGAAAGAGAAATTGTTAGTGCACAATATCAATGACCGCGGACTGAAATAATGGAATAAAAGAAGTCACTTGCTAAGTATTGCTACAGGAATTCACTCAGAATACTTACCTTCATCAAATGAAGAAGAAAGGAACAGCTTGCTACTTTTCAGAGGATTCAATTTTCTACTGAAGAAGAATTTTCAGTGATAACTGACAGAAAGCAAAAATAACAACCAAAGTAATTCTCTTTCTAATCCTCTTCAGCAGTTGCCCAGAAACATTACCTGCTGTTTAAAATGCCTTTTAGGAGGTTTGTCCAAATAGCGTTAGTTAGGGTGAAAGGCAAATGGTTTTAGATAGTCTGTTTCTTTAACTTTGCTCCCAATACAGGTCTTTCCTAATGCCAGTAAAAGTCTTAGAAAAAACATGAATTACACTGACTCCATTAGAATCATAGAATGTTCTGAGTTGGAAGGGACCCACAAGGATCATCGAGTTCAAGTCCAGTCTCTGGACAGGACCACCCTCATAAGCACATTGTCCCAAAGCTTTTTGAACTCTGTCAGTCTTGGTGCTGCAATGCTGTGACCACTTTCCTGGGAGAGTGTTCCAGTGCCCAACCACCTTTTGAGTGAAGAACCTTTTCCTAAAATCCAACCTAAACCTCCTCTGACACAGCTTCATGCCATTCCCTTGGGTCCTACTACTGGTAACCTGTGAGAAGAGCTCAATGCTTGCCCCTCCTCTTCCACTCACAAAGGAGCTGTAGACTGTGATAAGACCTCAGTCTCCTACAGGGTGAACAAGTCAAACAACCTCAGCTGCTCCTCATACAGCTTCTCCTCTAGACCCTTTCACCTCCTTGTGGCCCTTCTTTGGACATATAGCTTTATATCCGTCTGATATTATGGTTCCCAAAATTGCACACAGTTCTCAAAGTGAGGCCGCACCAGCAGAAGATGTGTTGTAAGGACTACAAGGATCTGTCACCTAAGAAGTTAGCAAGCTGAATTACATGAGAACACCAGTTTCACTCCACTTGGAATATTCAACTGTAGTAATTGTAATGAAAGGATAGAGAAGTAAGCAACAAAAAAAATAATTTGAAACAGATAAACTCTAGAACAATAAGTAAGGGCTAATGTCTGATGTTGTACCATACTTGTAGTAACTCCAAGCAAACTGTCATCTACAGTAGTTCAAGTCAACAATTTTTTCTCAGGTCTTGATTTCTACAAGAAATAATAATACTATTGAAATTCTTGTGCTGGAAATTCTTCTATTATTTTGGC